GGGGGTGGGGGCAAGCTTGTAGTGTATATCCTTTGGTTGGTTGATGATGCATTCCAATTGGAATTTTGAACTTCATCCATAAGCAAAAGTCTAGTTCATCAAATTATAGCAATTTGCCCTTGCTCACAGTATCTTAATCTGGTCCAGTTCAGTCAGCTAGCCATCCAAGCTAGGTCAAATGGATACTAGCTACAAGTTTGGAAGTTCATAAACACCTACCTCCCTGCAATTCAGACCAATTGGCTGCTTCACTCTCAGCCCTAGTACCCAGGGGCTAGGTCAGTGCCCATGGGCTCAGGAGTTCACACATCTTCATAAACTTGTTTACATTTAGGTCTTTAATCCATGTAGAATTTGTTTTTTTATATGGTGCGAGATATAGGCCATGTTTCATCCTTTCGCAAATGGGTTTCCAGTTTTGCCAGCACCATTTGTTGAAGAGATTGTCTCTTTCCCACTTACTGTATTTTGGTCCTTTGTCAAAGATCAGTTGACAGTATATGGACAGATTTACTTCTGAGTTCTCAATTCTGTTTCATTGCTAGATGTATATTTCATTGTTGCTTTGATGTGCATATATTTACCAATGAGACATCATCTCACACCAGCATTAGTAGATACATGGAGCAAGACACAGCCTAAATGGGTAAAGGAAGGTAAATATGTTATGTGCTTGACAGTCTTGTAGATATTGGTTTCCCCTGCATACTACTGTAAAATAAACATTTATGCATGATGTTGTAGTTTTCTATAAATTATTTTGTGTGTATGATAGAAATGAATATTGATAATTAAGATTTCAGAAAGGTTGTAAGCCCACCATCAGCCTATAACTGATTGGATTTGCTAAAAGGGGAGTTAGAATTTGCCCAAAGAAATAGACTTCTTGTTAGGCCTTTATAGAATATGGGACCTTAGGTGGAATCTTTCCTTGTACCAATACCAGGATGTTTTGACCACTGTGGCTGTGTAATAAATTCAGGAAGTGAGAGGCCTCCAACTTTGTTGTTCTTCTTAAGCAGTGCTTTGCTTATCTGAGGTCTCTTTCCTTTGCATATAAAGCATGTAATCATTATTTCCCATCTCATTAAATAATGTTGTTGAAAGAATGAATTGGGATCGTATTATATCTGTAGGTTTCTTTGGGTAATATTGACATTTTCACATGTTACGCTTTCCTATTCATCAGCATAGTATATTCTTTCATTTTTGTAAATTGTTTTTGCTTCCTGTAATAGTGTTTTGTATTTTTTTGTGTGTGTGTAGGTCTTTTGTTTCTCTGGTTAGATTTATTCCTAAGTATGTCATCCTTTGGGCGGCATTGTTTTTCTAATTTCCTTTTCAGAGTTGTCTTTATTAGTATAGAGGAATCCAACTGATTTTTGTATATTGATCTTGCACCTTGCCACTCTGATGAATCTGTCAATGAGTTTCAGTAATTTTCTTGCTGAATCTTTGTGATTTTCTGTGTATAGAACCATATCATCTACAAACAGAGAGTTTTACTTCTTATTTGCTAATTTGAATGCCTTTAATTTCCCTTTCTTGCCTTATAGCTCTGGCTAAGACTTCAAACACAATATTGAAAATAGGAGTGGTGATAAAGGGGATCCCTGTCTGATTCCTACTTGCAAAGGGAAGGCTTTCAGTATCTCTCTGTTGAGAGTGATATTAGCTGTTGGTTTTGTATGTATGCTTGTAATTATGTTGAAGAATTTCCCTTCAATTCCTCCTTTGTTGAGTGTTTTATTTTTTTTTCATCAAGGATGGGTGTTGGAGTTTGCTATGTTGTTGTTATTAAGTGCCGTTGAGTCGGTTCTGACTCATAGAGACCCAGTATAGGGTTTCCGAGGAGCAGCTGGTGAGCTAGAACCGCCAGTCTTCAGCTCAAACAGCTTTTCAGTCTGGAGCATTAACCCACAATGCCATACCAGGACTCAGAGTTTGTAGTAGGTTTGTTCAAAATTTCTTCTTCACTCTGTGTAAGTTTAGGTAAAAGATTTTTCTAAAAATTTATCCATTTCTCCAAATTTTCAACTTTACTGGAGTACACGTCTTCATTGTATTCTGTTATTCTTTTTATTTTTGTTGGTTCCATTGTGATTACACTCATATCGTTTCTTATGCATGTTATTTGCATCTTCTCCCTTTTTTCTTTTGTTAGATTTGCCAGTAGCTTGTCAATTTTATTAATCCTTTCAAAGAACCAGCTTTTTAGTCTTGCTGACTCTTTCTATTGTTTTTCTGTTTTCTAACTCATTTATTTCTGCTCTAATCTTTATTGTTTCTTTTCTTTTGGTGACTGTAGGCTTACTTTGCACATCTTTTTCTAATTGTTGTAGGTTCTAATTCTGTTAATGTGTTTATTTTGTTTTTTTCTTCTTCTTGCATGTGTCCATTTAGTGCTATAAATTGCCATCTAAGCACTGCCTTTGCTGTGTCCCAAAGGTTTTGGTATGTTGTGTTTTTATTCTTATTTGCTTCAAAAAAATTTTTTTTCTTTCATTTTTTATTTGTTCAGTTATCCAGTGGCTTTTAAGCAACTTGAATTCTTTGTTACTTCCCCAATGCTTGCTTACCATTAAACCAGCAATGTGACTATTCTTAGATAAGTCTGGGGCAAGTCCAGGAAAAGGCAATTTTCCCTCAGGAAGAGTATGGTTAAAAGTAGGTTAACTAGTATGTGAGAAATGTTCACAAAGAACAAGGGAACTTGTCTGGGTATTTACCAAAGTAGTCAATCAGATGACTATTATCTAATTTAAGTTTGGGTTCTGTTGACTATGACTCATGGTCATATAATCATGGGTCATACCCCAACGACCATGTAGCCTGGGAATTGAAGTCCCAGTGTAACCTGTTCTAAAGTGCACTTGTGCACATATCCCAGTCCTGGTCCTTTCTTTGCTTCTGTAGTCCCACTTGCAACAGTGATGAAATTGATCTGCTACCAGTCTTGTGTGATTTCCTTTGTTCTTCATCTTATATCATGAACACCATTGGCTGTGAGTCTTCAGACTCCATTGGCCTCTGTGCTGTGTACATGCTGATTGTTCCTCTCATCTGGATGATTATTTTTGTTCTGTTTTTGCCCTGTTTATGGCTTAATAAAAAAGGGCTCTGTAGAATAAATTTGAATCTGGGGTCTTCTTCCCCCTAGCACACTTTCATCATTAGAGGTATAAAAGGAGCTCCGATAAACTACTCTTCCTGTGTTGCACAAGCATTAATTTAAAAAAAGAATGCACAGTGCCCTGGAAGAAATTTTACTAATCCCCTCCAAGTGTGAAAAAGTTTGTTGTTATTGCTAAGTGCTGTCAAGTTGGTTCCAACTCATAGCAACCCTGTAAAAGACTTCCGAGGACCAACTGGTAGGTTTGAACCACTGACCTTGCAGTTAGCAGTCCAGTGCTTTTACCACAGTGCCACACCAGGACTTAGAATATAAATTTTTGAGATAAACTAGATGGTCAGGAGACTTGCTGATATCAGAAAAGGGTTGTAAAGCATTGTTGTTGTTGTTGTTGTTGTTAAGCGCTGTTGAGTTATTTCCAACCCACAGAAGAATAGGATTTCCTTGGAGCAGCTGGTGAGCTTGAACCGCCGACCTTGTGGTTCAAACCAATTTTGCAGTCCATCATATTAACCCACAGTGCCACACCAGGACTTCTGTAAAGCACTAATCACTAGTTATTTACCCAGAAATAGTCTGAACCTAGGTGAAAGGAGACATTGTTAAGTGCTTTGGAGTTCGTTCCAACTCATAACAACCCTGTATAGGGCTTCGGAGGAGCAGCTGAGAGGGTTAATCCACTGACTTTGTGGTTAGCAGTCTGGTGCTTATACTATAGTGCTTATACTTATCCAGAATTCCATATAGGCTACATTAGCATATAAAAAAACCACACTCCTGGGAGATTTAACATTATAATGAGACACACTAAGGATCCCCAACTGCACATGCTTAATCTGTAATCACATTTTATTGTATATATAGCATGATTCTGATGTAATCCTCACATATAGGGAATTTGGGCAGCACCTAAAGTGCTGTGGGTTAAGCACTGGACTGCTAACCACAAGGTTGGTAGTTCAAACCCACCAGCCATTCCCTGGAAACCCTACACAGGGTTGCTATGAGTTGGAACTGATTTCATAGCATTTCACAACAACAACAGAGACAGACAGAATCTTGAAGACCCCAGGCTTTTCTCCAGATTAAAAGACACCGTTGTTTTTGGCTGGGCACCTTGGTGTGTCTTCAGTGGCTTAAGTCCTTCCTGGGACTGGACTCAGTGCTTTGCTGGCAGCACTTGTGCCTCCTCCTAAGTCATCATCTGTCTTTACGCAGGGGGTGGGAGAAGGAACAATTATCCGAAGGCTGTAAGGAGGAGCCTGGGTTGTTTCTACCTCACACTCAGATTCTGCAGCAGACAATGAGGGAGAAATAACTACTACTTGATAGGTCCCTGAAGAAATATTCAGATTCCAGCAAGCCCCAAAGGAAAGGAATTGTTTGGACAAGAACCAGTTCTTATTTGGCCCTATATCCTCAGCAGAAGGCCTGGCACATTTTAGATGCTTAAAGAAAAAAATTCTGAATAAATGAATGAATGAGGTATGAGACACTTTCTCTCTGAAAACCCTTTAATGTAGTCAATGAGAAAAGATTTACAGAATTAAAATGGAACACATGGCAAGGCAATCTAAAACTAAGGACGAAGCTGTTGAGTATGAGGCAAAAGCATATAAAACTTGGCTAAAACAGTGTCTGATAATGCACCAAGTTAAAATCGCACAGTTAAAAAATTAATTGTATTTTTGTTAATTAATGTAGTCTAATTATTTACTTAATTTAGTTTATATTTTTACTGTCTAAGTCACAGTATCACATGGTTCAAAGTTCAAAAGCTATAAAAGGATATACAGCAGCATCTCCTCACGAACTGATTCGCAATTACCCAACTTTTCTTAAATATCCTTCCTGTTAAAAATATGTGAGAACCATGTCTGACTTCCCCTAGCTCCACAAGGGGGAAAGAGAATAAAACACAAAATAAGTACAAGGCCAGTTCCTATAAAGCAGAGGTCAAATATGCTTCCACCCTACAAACTTTTTACCCTATTCTGACACCAACCGTCGATCCCACATCTGGGATTGATAATCCTTTGCAATGGCCACACAGAATGCATAGCAATACTTACAATTATGGGATTTTTAGGGATGTGAACAGGATACAGCTCAGGATCAAAACGTCTTTTGTCTGCCATATTGTAGGCACACCTCAGTCCTGTCTTTGGCCTCTTCCCTACTAGGGCAAGTGTTACAAAACTCTTTTAGCCACTCTGTGAATGCCCACCAGGCACATTCTTTAAGTCAGTCTCCTGCCTGTAGGCACTCAGCTTTACTTAGTACATAGGCCTAGAGCCCAAAGCTGCTCTGTCTATCCATGCCACTGCCTCTGGCCATTGACTATTAACATAGCCCCTTGCCATCTCAAGTTCCACTCACACTCTTCCTTCTTGATGGTCCTAGGATCTTTCATCTCTGCTTCTGAGATTTGTTGTTATTGTAAGGTGCCCTCAAGTCAGTACCGACTCATAATGGCCCTATGCACAACAGAACGAAACACTGCCTGATCCTGGGCCAACCTCACAATTGTTGCCATTGATACTGCCACTTTGCTAATCCATCTCACTGGGGGTCTTGCTCTTTTTCTCTGACCATCCACTTTACCAAACATGATATCCTTCTCCAGCAACTGGTCCCTCCTGACAAAATATCCAAAGTATGAGAGACGAAGTTTGGCCATCCTGGCCTCCAAGGAGCACTCTGGCTGCACTTCTTCCAACATAGATCTGTTGGTTCTTTTGGCAGCCTATGGCACTTTCAATATTCTCCTCCAACACCATAACTCAAAAGCATCAATTCTTCTACCATCTTCCTT